AGGCCCCTTAATACTGGTTTATCGGTAAGTACTTCGATTCACTATATTCTTCGAGGCCGTTACATATAATGAGATTATTAATGGCTAATTCATTATCGTGTTCAATGCAGCAATGGAACGGGCAGGATACACTCCCTACAGCTCTGTATATCTAGACGAAAGCAGAGTTAGTTAGAAGGAATGCGAGGCGCAAGTACAGGGAGTACACGGACGGTCTCGACGTCCTGACACAGCATCAGGTTACGCTCTCTTTACTATCATATATGTGTCTTGTTCGATGTACACTATATCACAACCTAACTCAATTACGAAATATTCAGGTGCATTGGTGTCCTTTGGATGCTCTGGAGCTCCAGTACTATCTCAGTCCTATCACTAGGGATGAGTCAGACGAGTATCGCTACAACGTCCCTCTTATTTTCTTCCACATGGTCGAGATTCACTTGCCCATCAGGGTCTGCAGACAGTTTGGAAGAATGACAGGCTACCCACCATCGCTTTACTCCACCAAGCAAGGATTGCACGGGTGCGTTATCGATTAATAACAAAGCTACAATTCAGAGGTGTGTGTGGTACAACTAACATCGCTTTGTTGTAGGTATGACCGCAGGAAGAGATACAAGACCAAGGATTGACGCGTGACACACAACGCGCACATCTACTTGTGGGAGACCAGGGAACGGCAGCCGGTCCATGCAAGTCCTCCACACGACCAGCACACCTTCGACGAGTATCTGCGGTGGCTTTACAGGTCTACGAGGACACATATCAAGCCCCCGTACACCGAGGAGGCGATTGACGAGGACTCAGAGGAAGATGTGATCGAAGATGTGTATGACGTTGCCACTAGGGAGGACACACAGCTACAGAGAGTCCCGCTTCAAAGATACGTGGTAAGATACTTGAATGGTACAATTTGTTATCCTTTTGGTATTAAGTATATGTACTAAAAATGTCCAACCGCGTTTCTGTACCCAGGCGACAATTGTCAAGGATGTCCAATGAAGCAGCGTTCTGGCTTCACGAGTCTAGAGAGCAGGGGTCAGGCGTTCTCGAGGCTTTTGTGGAGGTAAACATAAACTTGTCCGTTCCGAAAATGTTTCTTTAGTGTATATGTGTTTAGGAAATGCACTAACTTTAACGTCTATTTATGTAGAAGGTGAAGAAGAGCTGCATGAAGCTAGCTTAGAAGCTAAGTTGCATTGACACTCCTTATGTGGAACCGCCATTCTCGACGTGGTCGGGTGGCACGTCTTCAGCCTCTTTGAGGACATCAGCTGGCTCTTCTCAGCTGGTGACAGGTGTCACTTCTGCAGTGCATACACCACCATATCATAGCGCTGGGAAGGGCCCTGCAACAGAGGACGACGATGACGACGACCCCCCAGGCTTCCGCAGACAGCACGACCAGTGGGATGATTGGCCGCAGGACGAGATCGACATGTCTCAGCTAGGTGGTGCCCCGCTTGGTACTCAAGGAATCTCACAGGTACTAACAAAGGTAGTTTCTTTAAATACATAGGCTCTATGAACGAACGATCATAAATATTATAAGTAATCATGCATATCATATACTTGCAGAGTACGAGCCGTACGCACCGACGACGCAACCATACCGACGTTGGCTACACTCCTAATGTGTTGCCAACAAATCTGAAGAGACAGAGGTGTCCGAGGGATCCTTACACTCCTAGGTCTTAGTTTATTAGGTCGAACGAATATTGGCGTCCGAAATTTGCATGTTATGTCGAACTTATGTCAAACCAATGAAAATTTTATGTGACAGTTTGTCAACTCGTGCACGGACTGCATTTATTTGCTTCATATTCGTTTCAATGTGTCGCGGCAGCACTGCCAGCGAGATTAAGTAGCAACTAGCACCGCGTTCGGCTGTACTACTTCCCGCTTGTTTCAGCTTATTCTTCCTCACATAACACTATTGAATCATCCAAAATAATCCAAAATTCACTATGCGGCCTACCAGCCGAACGAGCTGTAGTTCGAGAACCGGCAGTCCCGACGTATCTCGACGCCGGTGGCCGACGTATTGCGCGAGGGGTCAAGGAAGCCGAAGTCCATCTACCGATCCTACAATATGGGGCCAAAAAGCCAAAAAATAAGTGATTCATTTTTAGCCCCTATAAAATGAAAACGGATTCTTGAACCTCTTTCACGCTCATGTCACGTCGAGGTACTGCAGAAAAAAGAACCGTAAAATCCGATCTAATTTTTCGTAATCGATTAGTTAACATGGTAGTTAACCGTATTGCGAAAGACAAAAAAAATCATTGGCTTATTAAATTCTCTATTGAGCCGTGAAAAAGATTCAACAAAAGACAAAAACAAATCCACTATTGGTTTTACGTCAAGCAATACGTAGAGTAACTCCCACTATCGACGCGGAAAGTTTCGATTAAACCGTCCAGGTACTGCCGCGGCATGCGTCGTGGCGCGTCACCGCCGCACCAAGATCGGTGGTATGATAGACCCTGCCACGTCAATAGTCAGCGGCCCCGGTCTTCGCCACGTCAGCCTCCTGCCGCGCCATCATGCATGACGCGGCACAGACGTTTCGTCGCGCCATGATAATAGGCGCGGCCAAAAGTGTTAGTTTTGAAGAAAAAAAACAATGTTAAATTTAAAATTAGTTTACAAAAAGTATTAAAAATAAAAAAAATCTAGAAGGTCGTGATAGGTAAGGATGAAAACGAAACGGAAATATCCCGAACCGAACCGCATCGTTTTCTATATTTAATCCGATTGAATCCGCATTTTCTTGTCCGACTTTACCATTTTCGCTTTCGCATTTGAGATGTTTCGTATTTCAAATGTAAAAGTAGAAAACGGTTTACACATTTTTCGACCGTTTTCTAGTTTTCTATTTTTAATTTGAAATATTTCGAATTCAAAATTCGGTTTAAACCGAATTTGGCCAACTGCACAGGTCATACAGCCCAATTACAGGCTGCTCACCACGCAGCTGCGTTCTTTCTACTGGTGGCTAGCTGCCATCTCTTATAGACGGCGCCCAGCCTCATCTCTCTTATTATGTATTTGGTCGTGCACTTGTTTAATGCTATGCACTTAAACTAGATCATGCACTTGTCAGTTGTGAACTTATTATGTATTTGGTCGTGCACTTGTTTAATGCTATGCACTGTGAGTCGGTATTTCGTATTGAATTTTCGCATATCGACCGTGTTCGACATAATTCCGCTCGAATTGGTTCGTTTTTGAAATTCTAATATTTCGTAAGTTTGTGTTCGTTTTCGTGTCCGGCTTGTCCGCTTTCACTTTCATATTTTAAATGTAAAAGTAGAAAACGGTTGAGGAGTTTTTCGACCGAGTTCGACCGTTTTCGTCCTTAGTGATAGGCAATGCATGAAAGGACTCGAAATACTTGAAAAAACTCGTGTGGATTGCAACCGGTCTCTTTCTGCGCACAATCATGAAACCACTCTCACCATCACCATCCTCGTGGCGAGAATGTGGAGCGTAGGACAAACAGTATGGGACAGCATCGTCTCCGCCAGCGTGCAGCCGCTGTACCTGTCGTTTTTTATGAGAAAAAAAAAAAGCTGCAGGTAAGGTAGTTAGGCCAGGAACACGAAGGTCACAAGAACATACCAATGAGCATACATTAGTTCTCAATCAATGTGCTTCATCATGCCACGGACCTGACAATATACAATCAGATACGCATCTTGCCAGAATAACGTGCAGATTGCTTGGGTGGTCCATCATTTATTCCTAGAGAGAATTTCTTATTTGACATCAGACAAATGACACGTTTCTTTCTTGGTTCTCAAAAAATTTCCATTCCCTATTTGACACCGAGTTCAACTTTCGCTCCTTATACGACACTCTGTCGGGTTTGCCATCCGTGAACCGTTAACTGACATGTGGAGTGGTCCCGCGACGGCGGCACTTGGACAGGGCGCATCCGCGCGTGGAGGTGGCGGCGTAGGCGCGCTCGCGCGGCCAGGGGCACGTCCTGTCCCCGCAGCGAGGAGCTATCGTGGTAGCAAGGCGGCGGCGGCAGCTCCAGGGCCGCACGGTGCCACCACGTCGAGCTTCTCTGACTCTCCGAGTGCTCCAGCTATGACGGGCTCTCGTCTCGACGGAGCAGCAATAGCGGCATAGCACCTACGGTTCATACGCACGAGCGTCGCCGCCACCGCGAAGTCCGAGCCCGCACCGGAGAAGAAGGCTGCCAAGGAGGCCGGCGTCCCTCGGTGCGCGGCTCGCGGGTTCCTCAACGCCATCTTCAACGGCAGGCCTGAGCCGCCAACGCCGCCGTCGTCGTCATGGGGGGCGGAGTCCGCGTGCTCCACGGCGTCCTCCTACTCGCGCTCAGGTCGTCCAGGAACTGGAGCAGCAGGAGGCGAGTTGGGCATCGTCGTTGTCACGGTGGGGACGTGGATCGACTCTTGCGCGACGGCGCTGGCGTCGTCGTCGTCGTCGTCACGGCAGGGATGCGCCACCGTCGCAGACGCGCCGCCGCCGTGGGGATGCGCCCCGGCCGAGCGTCGTCAAGCTCGCATCCTTGGTCCTCGTCTCCGCGTGGACGCGCCACCATCGCAGATGCGCCGCCGCGGCGCGAGCTCGCCCCTACCGCACGCCGACACCATGGGGACGCGCTCCGGCCGAGCGCCGTCGCTGCGGGGACGGGACGCGCCCCGGGCCGCGCGAGCGCGCCTGCGCCGCCACCTCCACGCGTGGATGCGCCCCGTCCAAGCGCCGCCGTCGCGGGGCCACTCCCCGTCCGAGAAGGGGAGAAGGGTGGTGGGGCCCACATGTCAGTTAACGGTTCACGGATTGCAAACCCGACAGGGTGTCGTATAAGGAACGAAAGTTGAACTCGGTGTCAAATAGAGAACGGAAATTTTTTTAAGGCCAAGAAAGGAACGGGTCATTTGTCTGGTGTCAAATAAGGAATTCTCTCTTATTCCTTCACATTACACAAACAAACACTAAGTCGAAAGAAAACTCATAATCAATCACTCAACCACAGTTGCCCTGCTAGTCAGTATACAACTCTTTTGCAGCATCAGTTCCCTAAACCTATCTGCCGTGTCGGTGAGACCGGCACCCAGAAGGGCGTTCAGCAGCCTGTTGCAGGCAGAGATGTCGAAATCGGGGGCTTTAGAACGCTGCCACTGGTCAACGATCTCCCCGGCATCCTTCAGCTGCCCACACATCAGGTAGGAGGAGAGCACGCAGATGTAGTTCCGGCTCGTCATGCGCTGCGAAGTCATTACCATGGATTTCCAAATGTCCTTGATCCTCTCTTGGTTGCCAAGGCCGGTGTGTAAGATGACGAGGAAGTCATAGGTTATCCACTCCCTCTGGCTGATCTTGGCCTCGGCCTCCACCAGCGAGTTTCCAGAGCCCACAAGCTGGCTCGCATCAACGTATACACAGGCGAGGTTTCGGTATACTGTCCACCCTTCTTTGGAGTTTGGATCTTTGGACATCTCATCGAGAATTCCTTTGAAGCCCTCGAGATCCATGGACGCAGCTGCTGCGCTGACCCGGAGATTGTAAGTGAAGAGATCAGGAGAAACGTTTTGCCTTTTTAGTTCTTCTGCAATGATCTCCACTTTATCAAGCTCCCCAACAGAAATATACAAGGTCATCATCTCATTATAAACCAGGGCATCCATAGACAGGTTTGCATCCTTCATTCTCTCAAACAGCCTTTCAGCTTTATCTGTCATCTTTGATCGGCCATAAGAATGGAGAAGAGCTGTGTAGGCTTCTAGCGATTTGGCTCCAGGAGGAAGCTTCTCAAAGAAATCTTCAGCAGCACTAGCACCAAAAACTTTGGTAATCAAGTCAATGCGCATTCCATAGTCACTCTCAGATAAATCAGACTCATGATGTGTCTTCATCCAGTCTGCTACCTGTAAAATGTGTAGTTAATAGCTGATGCTGCAATTTGCAATTTTTTTCTAGAAGGGAAAAGGTATCAACCACCATCAACAAAATGTAACCCTTGCTAGGGTATCAGCATAAACAAGCAAATAAAATAAGGGGATAGGAACATGTGCTATAAGTCTATAAGTTTCACCAATGTAAAAGTCTGGCAGACAGCTTCTTTCAGGGTTAGCGATAGTTCTCATATGAGATTATCCAATCTCAATGACAAATCCATTTGGCAAAAGAATGTAAAGAATAAAGATAAGATGGCTCATCATGTTGTAAAAATATAGAAACATAATAGCTAGTATCAGTTAGCACTAAAATGGCACAAAAAGGAATACTTGAGACAAACTCAACTGATGAAATGTTGATTGCTAATTATAAGATCATAGCTGCAACCTTTGCCATCATGCCAGTCTTAAAACTAGATGACCATGTTCAGAGGCACCCTAATCAATGTCAGCCAAATAAGGAACAAAGCTACAGCACATGAATACAGTTCAAATGCTGCATACTTGGAATAAAACTTCCTAGAGTAAGATTGCCCAGTATTAGCATTATGCTCTATCAAATGTTCGGATTAACCCACAACAAAACCTACTTAAAAAAAGCTAGACCTGTTTATGGAGCCAGAAGAATCTGCAGTGGCACTGGAAGCCAGTAAACAGGCAACCAAACCATCTTAATTATTCAGCTAGATAAACCTACACCGTGTACACAAATTAAATTCTTTTATACAGGTTTTATTCATTCTTTTATACAGGTTTTATTCACAGGGACTCATATCATAGCCTGCCACGCTTTGGAGACAACAGCGATGCAAATTTTTCGCCTAACATGGGTGGAGCATTATTAATAGAATAGGGCAATAATTTGGAACTTTTTCACTTATGCTTCTCTTGTTTTTTGGCCTTGTGCTAGCTTGCTACATTTAGGAGGTTCAAGCCAGAACTTTCTATTATTTTATATAAAAATAACCATTTCCACAACGAAAAAGAACAGATCAGATCAAAGTTCATTACGCAGCACAGACAAGGCACTCATGATAGGCAAAGCAATCAGAAGCGGCATGGGTTCTGCAGGTGACCGAACCTCGAGTGCGTGCTTGTAGCGACGGACGCGGCTGAGGTCGCGTGCGATGCCGCGGAGCTCCGCCGCGGGTGCGGCGCGACCTTCACTGGACCACTTCTCGAGCGCCGCCGTCGCGCTCCGCTTCGCCAGGCCCAGCCGGAAGATGCGGCTGCGCAGGTCGTCCCCGTCCTCCTCGCCCGTGGCCGCGACCGCGCGGTCGTCCACGGCGGCCGCGGGAGCAGCAGTCGTCGCGGCTTCAGATGAGAAGGGCCCGTGCCCCGCGAGGACGGAGCGGAGGTGGAAGCCGGAGCCGGATCGCTTCAGGCGGGCGCCGGCTCGGGTAAGCACCGCCGCCATCTCGTTGCCCTGTGCGGCTGCCGGCTGTTGCCCCCGTTCGAGCAAACCGTGCCAGCTGCGAGATGCACAGTGTTGCTGTCTTGCAGGGCCGAGCCGTTGTATGGGCTGAGCCGTGCTTTACAAACTTGGTCAGCGTGGGCCGCAAAATTGGGCTGGACTCCAACCACAGTTTCGGCACTTTCAGTCACTTGGCGCAGAACCAAAATCGCTGAACTCTACACCCCTCAGTCGATGAAAGTTTATCCTAAGTAAAATTACGATACTTTTAATTAAAATTATAAAAAATGAAAATAATAGTTACAATATCAAGTTAGCATTATTAGATATGTTATGAAATATATTTTCATAATTGCATTTTTGGTATAATATATATGAATACCCTTCTCTATAAATTTGGTCAAATTTTGCATAGTTTGACTTAAAACAAGCTTTTTTATAATAAACTTGGATCCATTGTATGTCAGGATAGAGTGAGTATGTAAAACAAGTGATTCCATGCTGGAAGTGAACCAAAATAAGTCGGTTTCCATCTTTGGGCCCCATAATTACGATAATCAGTCTAGAACCATGTTCTGAATATTGTTTGGTATAACTCCTATTTGAATTGGCCTAGGAGCCACTCTAGTGCGGTCAAACTTACAAATTTGACTTAAGACAACTCTAGAAGTTTATTTATTTAGGTATGAGAGTAATCAGGGAGTATGTGCTAAGGACGTGTAAAAATGTGTGCGTGTGCGTGTGCGTGTGTGTGTGTGTGTGTGAGAGAGAGAGAGAGAGAGAGAGAGAGAGAGAGAAGAAAATAAAGTGCAATACATTGGACAACAGGTGGTGCTTGCTTAGAACCTTATTGCATCCGTTGCTTATTTTTGCACCTGGTGCTAGGATATAATAGACAAATATGCCACCAATCATTCTCTCTCCATCCACCATCTATGTCAAGTTAGAGAAAGTTAATATATAATATACATTTTATTACATGTAGAGTCCACCTTAGTATGAACTAACTGATTTATATATTAGAGCTTGTTCGACTAGTAGAACACCTTGTTGTGATGAGATGGCTAACCATGTATTATATGGAGTCCAAGATGTCCCACGCTATACGACGTTGCTCATGGTCTTGTACTCTTGTGTATATTGCATATCAAGTGTCATGTTTGTTTACCAAATAGACTAGTTGCCGATGATTAGAATAATTTGGACTTTGAGTGCCACACGCACATCTAATAAGTCTAGAGACTAGATGTGCACTTTAAGAGTACAAAGCCATGTTAACAAGGGTCTCTGGTGTATTTTAATCTATAGTTAATTGCTAAACTAGAGAAATATCATAATTAAAATGAAGTTAGAAAGGAAAACATGTTAACTTACCCTTCTAGTTTATACATGCATAATACTACAATTTCTATCTCTCATGAATCTTCTCTCTTTTTTTTTGAAATATCCATTACTGGCTTTCATATGTGAAAAAGAACTGTTACATACAAACCAGCGGATGCTAGTTTTTTTCTACAAAATCCTCTTTATCATTGGTTAGGAAAAAAGGATTGAGTTTTTCATTCTAGTGGAGATGCTCTAAGAGTGCAAAGAAATATTTATGAGTTCTTTGTGTCACAGCCTACTATGATCAACATGAAGATTGGACCTTAGCTGCTAGCTGACGTTTATAAATCTTCTCAACCTTTTTTTTCTTTAACGCCTTACTTTTCAGCCGCATAATTACGAGTAATTCACACACTAATAACAGGAAAATCTGATGGACCCTCTTGATTATGAAGCCACTTGACTAGCTGGCGGCGTTTGCCATGGTTTTTGTTAGCAGCGGCATGGTTTCCTTTCCCGTTCTCGCCTTCTAGGTTAAAAGGAAGACACGCACGCAACACGCTAGGCACACAGATCACGCTCACACATCACAAGTTGCAGGTGTAGCAGCCAAACGTTCTCAACACTGAACGCGCTCATTCTTGTATGCTTGTGCAAATACATGGGCATCCTAACAATGATTTTGGTCCATTTCGAAGATCAATGAAACAAGATGGCTGGTTCATGCTATGAGGGAGTTTAAGTAGGAAAAAGTTCCCAGAGATGAGAATTTGCGAACAACTCGAACTCTTATTAAACTTCCTGATTGTTTAGAACATGCTGTAAATTCGTGGATTTTGTCATTACTGCAGGATATTTAATTTGAGCCCATGATCTCAGTATCAGTTGACGAATGTTCCCATATCTCCCTCTCGATCTTGTCAAGGTAAGTGAGCATAGTTTGGAGACCCTTCTCGTCTGCGAGTACAAGCACAGAGAGATTTATCAGAAAGCAAAATAACAAGAAAAATCATCTAGGCCTATGAAGAAAGTCTAATCATTCAAGGACGTCTTAATGTGGAGACTGTTTATGCTGAATTTGTGGGATTTGGACTGAGCATTATCTGAAAACTAATTAGAAGGTACTCGATCGGAGAGAATCTGATCTCACCAAGTTTAGGAACAGTGTGGCCGCAGGGATGACGTATAACAAGTGGATCCGCAAATGCTTGTACAAGCTCTTCGCTGTGAACCTTCACAAAGTCCTCGTCACCTGCACAGAATTAATTACTTCTCGTGTTAGAAAGAGAGGATGCTTGGAACATATGAATTTTACATTAAACTGTTTGACAGTCCTGCAGAAACTAGTCAAAAAGTTCAGTCCGGCGTTCACGATCAGTTTCCGTTTCCACTATATATCTCGATTTAACAACGCTAGAGACCACAAAAATGTACGAAGACAGCCAAGAATAAGCAGATTTATGATCTTCTTCTACATACATAGAGTATGAAACATATTTCAAACGTACCAATGAAGTGAAGGGATGGGCACGTGATCTTGCTGTCAAACGCCCTCGTGACAGCCACCGGCGCCCTGATCTTCGCCCCGGCTATAACTATCACGCACTTCACCTTAGCAACCCCGGTGAAGGCCAACCCCTGCCGGAAAACGCAAAACAGTGTGTGCAAATGAAAATGAAGTCGTGACAGGCAACAGCCAGCACGCACTCGCTTTACCTGCTGCTGGAGCCCTGCAAGCGCTGCAGAAAGACCGGCGCCCTGGGAGAAGCCCAGCAGCCCGTCGAACGGCCCATCTCTGGCCATCAGCTCCTCGAGGTAGGTGAAGCACCCGTCCAGGTTCCTGCAGCTGAGGAAATCCTCGCCGACGAACTGGCACCACTCGTAGTAGGGCGGATCGAAGTCGAGGACGCCGGCCACGGGGGACGCGCCCTCGGCCGGGAACGGCGCGTCCGCGAACACGAGGTCCAGGCGCGCGGTCACCTGGGCCGCCCACCTGCCCACCACCTGCCGCCGCATGATCTCCCCGCTGGTGCGGAACCCGTGCAGGCACAGGAACCGCGGCCGCCGCGGCGACGACGCCTCCCGGTCCCCGCCCGACGAGACGCGAGCCGCGCGGCCGCGCCCGTCGAACTGGAGCGGCGGCGGCGGCGCTCCGGCGTCCTGAAGCCGTGGTGGCCGCCAGGTCGCCCCGAATGCAGGAGCGTCGGCGGACTCGGAGGCCCTGGCGCCGTGCTGCACGCGGCGGCGACCATCGCGCAAGGGACAGGACGACGCGGCGGAGGCAGGTAGCGTTGACCGTGGAGCCAGAACGGATGGAGCCTTGGATGAGACGGGCTGCCGCGGCTGGCATCTCCATGGAACACGGATTGAAGCTGCCACTTCCATTGGAAGAGGGAGCTCTCGCTCTCAGTGTTCTCTACTTGATTGATGAGCACGGGATTAATCGGCCATAATTGGGGTGGATCTTAAGCTGGCAGGCACGGCGACGATGCTAGTTCATTCATTGTTGTGGAGGAGGAGGGTTCCATCCAACACCAAACCAGAGTAAATGATTCGAATGGTGAGGACCGTCCAAACTCCAAACCCCCCAAAAAAAATTATGAATGGACTTTTATCTAATTACTCCACAACAACGAAGAGTAATTTGATATAATGGTGAGTATATGTATTCCCTCTCCTGTCATCCATCCATCTATCACATTTCTTTCAATTTCAATTCGTGTAGACATAGTTTTATATATGCATACCCGTACGCTGCCACATGATTTTTTTAAATAAATATATTTTATATAGTATTACTATATGGTATTATGTATATTGTGTGTATATATATATATATATGAATTTGACTTGCACCATCAGCCGAAATAAGTTTGAAATGTGACCAGCCAAACACCCTGTTGCATGTTATTTTATTGTATCGGATCTGGCAAAAATTCAATAACCTAATAGAAGAAAAAATAATAGAATATTTGATTACATTGTAGGAGAATATGTGATGAAACAAATATCATATGTAAATGACTTTATGTTAGTAGACTAGAGATAAAATGTATTACATATAATAGAGATGATGTGGATATTTTTTATAATTAATAAGAGATGATATGGATAGTTCGCATGAAAGTGATGGATGAAACAGAAAAAGAGCATTTGGGCATCACTTCCAACATTGCAGCCAGCGGTGCCATTCACCTGTGATGCTAACGCCCTCCACAGCGTGGGGCTTGAGTGGTGCCAGAACAAGAGAGAGATGATCGAAGAGTCACTCCGCACGCTGCAGCTAGTGGTGCCAGTTCCAGAAAAATGAGGAGCGGCGCAACTACTTGCGCCGATGCCTGCTATGTGAAAAGCTGGTAAAAGTACTGCTCCGGTTTCACTTCTTCTTGCTGCATTGCTGCAGTATAGACTGTTGAGGGTTTTTTAAATAATTTTAATGCCTGGCTTTGCATGCTCGAAGAATCTCAGGAGTGAAGCTTCACACTGCAACATTCTAGGCCGATGCCAGTTACTGCTCATGGGACCCAAAGATTCTTTTGAGCACCACTCCACGTTGTGGAGGGCCAAAAAAAACTGGGAGCGGGGCATGTACAGGCACCGATGCCCAAGTAATAAACTAGCATTGTTTCACTGTAGCACAATATGAAAGACAAGATAAGATCGGTACTTTTTTATTCCCCTGGAGGGTGTGTTTAGTTGGGGAGTTGAAAATTTTAGGTGTTATATTGGATATGTTGGAAGGATGTCGGAAGGGGTTTTTGGATACTAATAAAAAAACAAATTACAGAACCCATCAGGAAACTACGAGACGAATCTAATGATACTAATTAATCGGTCATTAGCACATGTGGGTTACTGTAGCACTTAAGGCTTTTTCATGGACTAGTTAGGCTTAAAAGATTCGTCTCGCGATTTTGTCGAGAACTGTGCATTTAGTTTTTTTTCGTCTACATTTAGTACTCCATACATATGTCCAAACATGCTCTTTTACTGTGGGAGACAAAAAAATTTGGAAACTAAACAAGGTCTTAGCATGCAAGATAGTAGCGATGCTTGCGTTTTCACACACTGCAGCTTTGTACCAGTGATGCCGTTTTTCTTGCCGTTGGACCCATTTTATTTGGGCATCACTTTACACTAAGGAGGGGCCTAGCGGGGAATGATGTGGATATCTTACAAGGAGAGAGAAAACATCTAGTGAGATTTAGCTTTATAAGAGTATTTAGATATAGATATAACAAAACATTTTTTTCTCTCCTTTCCTTAAATTCCTTGTCTCCACGGGTTGATCTTTTTCCTTTCAAGACAAAGATCATAGCCCATACAAAATGACCCGGTGGCACTCCACAAATTGGGTGCTAACCGGCGCCTGGCCGTATAGGAGCAAAGGTCTAAGAGTAACATATGTTTCACCATAAAACTTGGCACTACCACAAAGTCCTCTATGGTTGAATTTTGCTCACTAGTGGTCACTCAAACTCACTTAACTCAAACCACACTCTCAAATCCAAAGTATACATCACCTTTCACACAAATCCCGTAAAAGGGAGGATTGGAAGAGCTAGCAAGGTTATGATGAAGTTATGATAATGCTAGAAGCATCAAAAAATCTCCAAAGAGTGTGGGATGAGTATATATAGCCACCCCACAAAATAGTCGTTATTAGAGGCTCAATCAATAAAAATTGGTCTGGACAGTTTCTGTCAGAACTAGCTACTACTATTTAAATAGGGGCCAAACTAGCTATGTCGGTTTTCCCAGCCCATGCCCTAACCCTATGCTCAAAATTAGATTCTAGAGTTAAATCGGATTTTCTTATGAGTTTTTATCACTTTTTGGCCTCATCTAGCACTTAAAGTTGCATGCACGACATACCTAAACACAAGAGATCAAAGATACACAATTTGGATCCCACTTGAACCTTTTTTTGTTAAATTGTGCGCATACTCTAATATTCATCACTGAGAGTCATCAACGCTACCATTGCTGTGAGCATAACATCATTGAACTAGTGACTTAGGACCTTTTTTTGATAATATGATCAAGACTACACTTAACATCCACAAGCCACTCTTCATATCACTCAATAACGATTTGATCATCAATATAGTGTGACCCCTCAAATCTTGATTAGATTCTTGAAAATACAAGTACTCGCTTCTTCACCTTAACCATAGTACCTCAGCCGTCAAGCCCTCACTTGCCCTTCATCTTCACTTAATACCTCGAAACTCTTTCCTTGCTATCTTCACCCTATCAAGCCATTCTCAAGTCACACTAAGTCTTGAGTCAAAATTAGACATACATTGAATTCCATTTCCTCAATATCATAACTCTTGCTTGAATGTCATTCTTGATGTGATTTGTAAAACCCTTCACATGAAACAAATCCATTTGCAATTACTTATATATATCTCAATCTTCATTTAATAAGTATACTTGCCATTTGATCAATTTCATAAGACCAATTCTATCAAACCACAATATAGATAAGCCTCATATGGGAGAACAATAAATATTCATCAAACTCTATCTCCTTTGTCATTTCCACCATATGCTTGTCGATTCTTCATTTCAGCAAAGTAATCTTAGACTCAATTCAAATTTGCATATCATTGGTCTAAACACCCCCGCACACGATCTCATCAATTGTGTTAGTCCCTTAATCGTGTTTTCATTCAATCCACCAAAATCCACTTTGGGCCTATATGCACTTTTAATTTGACATGGTGAAGAAGAAAAAACATGTTCCATCGGAAGAGATAATGATCGCGGCAACATGACTTATAGTACTCTCTCCATCCTGAAATATAAAGGGATTGAGGTTTGGTCTAACTCCTAAGTCAAGTAACTTTAACCAAATTTATAGAAAAGAAAAATAACATTTGCCAAACCAATTAGCATCATCAGATATATTATGAAATCTAGTTTCATAATCTACCTTTTTTGTCACTAGTATAGAAAACATTTTTACATACAACACCTTTTGCAAGTGTACTAGCGGTTTTGTGAACCTCCATGTGAAAGACCAGTGGAAATGGTGATTTTTCATTAGCGTCACTTGAGAATTGCCTATGTAAACAATTTACAATGAGGAACCACTAGTACATCTGAATGGTTTTCTAGTATTTGTAAATTAGGACAAAAATAGCAAAAATAGGGAGAAGCCCGCTAGCCATTCCTTATCATTGCGCCTCAGAGTCACTTGTGACTAGGTGGCTCGTACATTCCTTTTGTATTCACTTTAGTGAATATTGTAATGCATATTTGAGACCCTAACCTAATTCAAATGGAAAAAGTTTGAACTAAAAAGTTTTAGATTCCTTCGAGTACTACAACTTTGGTTTAGGTCATCCCTCCATCTGAGGCCATCTGAAAAATTCATAAAAATATTAATTCAAAATCATTAATCTTAAAACATAATTTTTGGACTCTAAATCATTTCAAATGAAATGTAGTCAACTACAAAGTTACAGACCTTTTTGAGTACTACAACTTTGGTTTAGGTCATTTCTCCATTCGAGATCATTTCAAAAAGCTAAAAAAATAATTTTAAATTATTTATATTGGCGGACGGTTAGAAAAAACGCCAGTGTAAACACGTCAATACTAAAGGGTTTTCTTAAGGCTACTGCTAGTACAAATCCTCTATTTACACTGGCGGTAGGCTTTTGTGACAACCGCCAGTATAAATAGAGGATTTCTACTCGCGTCAATCTTAAGAAAATTGCTAGTAGAGATGTATCTTCAGTGATGATTCATAGCCATGGCCAATGGGCCCATAGTTCTATTTCTATTGGTGCCTATTATTTATGAATCGCCAGTGGAAAAAATCCCTAACATTGACAAAAAACCGTTTATGTACTAGTGGATGTGGTAGATATTAATAATATTATTTATAAACTTAGTCAAAATTAAGATACTTTGACTTAGGATAAATGTCAATCCTTATTTATACTTTCTGATGGAATGAGTAACATATACAACATACACATCACCTCCTTTTAGTTGGGGCCTCTCCTTTATAAAGAAAAAATGCACAGAGAGAAGAAAAGGTTGTTATTTTTGTTCAGGAAAAAAAGAAAGAGGAGCTTATATTATTAAACATAGGAGGGTAAAGGCAAGTGCCCAAGCTGAGCATCATTTTGAGCTTGCATTGTAGCACTAGCACACCATGATTAGAGGGATGCACTACTTTAGTGGTGTGGTTCAAAAGAAGGGTGGCACAAATTCAATTCCTATTTGAGGCCCTGAAAAGAAAATGTTCTCTATATAGGAAGTAGGAGGAATTTGTCGAGTATATGTGACTTGGCCCTTATAGGGTCTTTCCTATTGAACTTGGGACACTCCAATCCAATAAAGGGAAATTGCAACGGCCACTTATCTGCATGCGTGGTGCATCGGTAGTTGTACCATATTGTCAACATGGTAGGTTATAAAACTTTTTTGTTTTTCCAACGTGGTGGAAATAATAAATAAACAAAAAGCTGGAAACTGAAGTTCGTGCGTGGTTGAAAAAAAAAAGGTTTCCATTCATGGATGACTTGGGTGCTGCCATGCATGTTGGTGAGTGCTGAGACTTGCTGTTGGGAGCAGCGAGGGACCCAGCAACAAAAAGTCGCTGTATGCGATACGGTGTGTGGAAACGCAGTAGCAGTCATGAATTAATGTTCCAGTCGACGGCGACTTGACATAGATCGTTTTCGGTCGCGGACCACATACAGTCCCAACCGTGCTAGCTAGCTTTGACGTCAAGGCGACGTGTGTAAATTGCTTATAGGTCGATGTGAACAGAACAACGCGTATATATATATATATATATATATATATATATATATATATATATATGTATGTATGTAAGCTTTCCATGATCACTCGTAATCGGACGCTGATGTACAGTAGCAATCAAGCTACTATGGTGCACGTAACATCTATGTCTATATATCTACGTGCTGCTAGCTTTACGTTTTTCCACACTTGCTTGACTCCTTCGGAGGCCTCCAAATTAAACGTGTCTGCTACGTCTTGTCGATCGATCAGCTCGTCTCCCATCTCCGTCCGTCCATCCATCGGCGTCGTCGTGATCGTCGTCGGTCCAAAAGAAGTAATGGGGCGCCTCCGTTGTGGGTCGTTGGCCGAACCCTCCTCGCTTGCTCCATTTCCACCTCGACGGGGCCTACTTACCTTCACGCCTCCACTTCCATGGAGCCTATAAAACGGGAGCGCCCCCGGCGGCCATTGCAGTGCCAACAACCAGTCCACTCACCATCACTAGCTACTCTTCTCTTCTTTTGCTCGCTTGTCGCTTGCTCTCTCTATATATACATACATACCACCAGCACCAGAAGTTGCTCTCTCTAGCTGTGTGCCGGCCGGTCGTCTGAGCATCCAGCTGGTGAGGCGAGGTGAGTAGGCAGCTAGCAATGGCAGCGCAGCAGCAGGGAAGAGGCAGTGGAGCTGCGGTCCTTGCGGCGGCGGTGCTCCTCTGCGTGCTCCTCCATGCCCACGTCGCGGAGTCGGCCGTGTTCACCGTCGGCGACCGTGGCGGCTGGAGCTTCAACACCAACACCTGGACCAACGGCAAGCGCTTCAAGGCTGGGGACGTCCTAGGTATGACGGTGACCTCGATCACCTAGCAGGCTAGCAGGCTAGCAGCCTCTTCCTTCCTTTCTCACCGATCGATATATATATCCAACGGGCGATATATACTATGCAGCAGAGAGATTAATTCTTGGCCGATCGATCGAACTGAACAGACGTACGAGTAGCTTTTTAAATGCTCATAAACATATGCCAGTGCAGTGTTCAAGTACGACTCGACGGCGCACAACGTGGTGGCGGTGAACGCCGCCGGCTACAAAGGCTGCTCCGCGCCCGGGGGCGCCAAGGTGTACAAGTCCGGCAACGACCGCGTCACGCTCGCCCGCGGCACCAACTACTTCATCTGCAGCATCCCCGGCCACTGCCAGGCCGGCATGAAGATCGGCGTCACCGCCGCCTGAGTCCTGACCGATCGCTGCCGTCGTCGCCGCCGCCGCCGCGTGATATATACATCTATCTATCGACTACGTGATTGTCAGTTCGAGTGACTCGTATGGGCTTTTGTTATTACCGTCGTCAGTCTCATAGATACTCCTATATTTGGTTCAGAATCGTGCATGCTTCATGCTCATAGATCGTGTCGCTACGGCATGCATGCGCCGCCGCGTGTATGATTGATGTGAATCCCTATATGAATAAACCGCACCGTCATGATTCTGTTTCATGGTGTAATCTGTCAAGTAACAATTAATGTGTGTGCTGAGTGTTTTTGTTGTTTATACGGTCCGCAATAAGTTCGCGAAAAAACCCGCCTTGCATGTTGCATCGCTACTAACTGTCTACGACAAGGACACTATAACTCTATATGCAGCAACCTATGTAAACGGGACATTAATATTGGACGCGGGCGGGGACCAAAGAATTTATAAAGTACTCTCTCCGCGTACTAAATTATAAGTCGGTCAAAGCATCTCAAGTTTCTCTAAACTTATGACATCAAATAGTTACAGTATGGAAACATAATTAATGAATAATCAAATTAGACTGACTTAGGCCCCATTTGGCTTACCCAGAAATCGACTTGTTCGGCTTGTTTTTTCAGCCGGAACAGTGTTTTTCTCTCACAACAAATTAGTCAGAACAGTGTTTTTCAACAAGTTCCAACCAAGTTTCAGCAAGCCGAACGGGGCCTTATAATTTAAAACTGAGGTAAAGTGCAAAATGGCATATTGGCAACATAACAAAACGTCCAGGACCTCCACAAATTCGTTAAGTTCTTATGGTTCTCTCCGTCCTCGTTCAGGGCCTGTTCGGTTCCTGGGAACCATGGCCTGAAACTAATCCAGGTAAGATTGCTTCTCTAATTTGTATAAGCTTTCTAGCCGGAATGGTTCCAGGGCTCCGTTCGAGGCCAAAGGAACGAGCCCTCAGTTGACATCAACTTAGCAACTTTGACCGGCTTTTTTCCCCTTTTATATAAAAAAACATTTTTTAATGCTTCAAATACCCTTCATATGATTTGTAGTCAAGAACACGTTGATAGTCTTATAAATTTAAAAAAAACAGAGTACCAAAGCTGCTACAGTAACCATCATCGCATTAAACGAAAACAGATCCAAGTAAAAGGGGACAGACCCAGTGCCGGAGGCTCCCACATGAGTGGGATCCGGGGAAGGAAAAAACCGAGGCAAACCTCTCCCGCAAATCTACGGAAAGGCTGCTTCGATCCCATGACCTGGTGACTCAGTGAGACAGCTCTCACCAGTGCGCCAGGCCTGCCCTTCTCAAAAACAGATCCAAGTACCAGATTTAATCCAACCACGACGAAGATACAAACCAGCTCTATTATATTTGCGAAATGAAGTATCTAGGCAGGATTAGTGACAAAGTTCTATCAAGCAGCTGCCTCAGGTTAGGTGCTTTTGAATCTGAAGATAACAGGAAAGATGGGTACATAAATTTTCAAATGGACCAAAATCCCACCAAAAGTCAATGATTTTCAGGCCTCTTAAAGACAACTTCCACAGAAGCTTAGTATGAGGACGAACAGGAAAAAAACAACACAATGATACTGCCATCACTTTTTCTTTTTCCCGCCTTTTGTGTTCTTTGAACTGCCACCGGCTGAAGAACTGGGCGCTGATTCCTGCTTCTTTGTCCTTCCGTGATGCTTGGGAACTAGCTCTGCTATTTGGATCATCAGCTGCTTTTCTGTAATGTGAAGGCGTGTCAGTAAGATACAACTGCACAAATATACTCCCTACAAAGACCAAATCCTGGGAAGTGCATAAATTAACTAATGGACTCCCACATCTACAACTGGAAGCTGCAGAGTTTCATACTTCATTTTTACAAAATGAAAGAAAAAAAAGGATATGCTACTGACTCCAAATAAGCTGCATAGTACTCCCCCCGTCCCCGAATATAAGGCGTGATTTGACTTGGTGCGGTATTCAAGAACATATTTTGCCCTATAATTTCTCATATAATATATAATTTATAGGAATAACAGTTTGATCATTAAAAAGTATTTCTAAATACAAATCCAATGTAACTATTTTTGTAATACAAACTTTTGATATAATTAGGCTAATTGCTAGTCAAAGATAACAAAGTTTGAATTTTGAAATACGTACATGCCTTATATTCGGGGGACAACTTGTTAAATAGGATAAAAGTTCACTCATGTAAAAGATGCTTTCATAAATAAATAGGCTTGGACTTATAATACGGCAACAACTGCTTCTCAAGCAAACCCAAAATGCTTAGTAATTTAATCACAGTATATTATTTTTCTAAAATGGCATAGCAGTGTGTTCAATGTACCAAAGACTCTCTACCATGACAGCAATGCCCTAAATTTCATTGGGTATTCACTAACAACGATTCTAGAATGTCAAAAGAGGCTCTTCTGAACTTAAAAAGAAGTATAGTTAAATGTAACAATATTTTTCTTACATACACAAAAAGAAAAAACATATGCAAGTCACAGACAAAGAAGATTCGGTAAATTCTAGTGTCAAAAGTATGAAGACCCTGAATTACTTAATATGAATAAACACGAGAAGAACCCTAGAAAGACATGAAGATTGTAGCAATTGAAGTCTACCCAACTAAAGGGAGGCTGACAGTTCAAGTATTCAAGGACCCAGACTCAGGGAGTTCACCCAACAAGGTGGAAAGTGATGAGGTATTTGCCCCAAGCACTGAAATTATTATTGTTAGCCTTAGTGAATAACGATTAAAATAATTCCATTATATAAACCTGGAGTTTAGTAGACAAAAGAAAATCTGAAAAAAAAAGAGTAGGTCAAAAGCAAACATAAATCTAATCCAACGTGAAATAGTCAGCTGGACGTGATTCTGAAAGACTGAAACAAAGATGTACTACCCACCAAGTATCCAGCTAGGGAATCATTTAGGATTGATTCAAAGTACAAACAAGAGGCTGCTAATTGAGGTGTTGCTGCACATGCAAAACCTCATACTTTGAAAAAGAAATAGGCCCATATTGTTAACAAACATTCGAATGCGAACGAAGCTCTGTGATGTAGAAAAAAAACTCAAAGTGTTCAATACAGCTAAGCTGATTTTGAGGTTAATGGAAAGGTAAAACAAATTGAAGCGTCAGGGAGAAGCAGACACATAGGTTTTCCTGATTTGTGAAATGATCCAAACATGAGTAATGGAAAACCAAACAAAGTGCAGCAAAAAATTAGTTTCGAAAGGAAAATCATGCATAGATAATGCAGCAAGCAGTTCTTGGCAATCATAAAGCCACTGTCGATAGTCAACATACATAAAAGTTGAGGCATCAAGCAAAACAGCAACATAAATTTTCCTGATAGCATTCACACGAGTTTGACATAAATCAGATCAAACTAAGAACATAATGTATACATCCATAAACAACAGCATCAAGGCATGAGCATAATGATAAAACGTGTAAATCTCAACACGAAATATATTACCTAAGATAGTAAGGTATTAGAGTGGGCCGTTGTATCAAACTAATATAACACTGATGGAAGATGTAATAGTCTGGGAGTCAAATAGACTCACACCTTGGTTCCTTGGTACTTATTTTACGATTAGCCAGATCCTTGCTATTCTTCCTTCAAAAAGGAAGTAATTACACTTCCAAAATCTTAGATGGGTGCCGCTACAACATTGCACATATTAATGCAACTGCAGCTATGGCCGCTATTTTCAGGCATTAGTGACGCTAAACGGTTTAGCGGTGACTTAATTTAGCGGCGCTAAATGTCCAACCAGCCAACCTGCCAAGAAATGAGGCCCCAAAAAATTTCCACTGCCCCAAATCCTCACAAACCCTAGCATTTCAAGTGCTCCCCTCTCCATTCTCGGCCACTCTCATTTCTGAACCTTTTGCGGCGGCTCAGCAGTGCGGGGACAGCTGTGAACTGCAAGCGACCACGAGTGACTGCAAGTGGCGATTGCGTGTCATGGATGCATGCGGTGGCCTCGGAGGCTGGGGCCGTGGCCCACTGGCCCTTCACCTGTGCTTTCTTTACTCCTGTTTTGTTTTTATAATGAAGCCAAATGGTGGCTAAATCATGGCACAAGTGCACCAAACCTTAGGTAATTGGTTGCAAGGATTCTAGGTTTGACATGTAGCTCCTCAGTTTGTGAGAAGAATTGGAGTGCATTTGAGCAAGTATAAGAAAAGAATAAATATGTAGAATATTTTACATGCATCTGTTACTGTTATATTTTCCTTGAACGTGAACGTTTCTGCCATTTTGTTCACTTTCACTTCACCTACAGGTTCACACAAAAAGACGCAACAAACAACTTCATGACAGGATGAAGGACCTTGCATTTGTCAAATTCTAACTCTAAACTCAAACAGAGGAGGGAGAACAAGACAAAGGGACCATTGAAAAATCAATCACCAATGTTGTTGAGGATGAGGAAAATGAGTTGATCACTGGTATTGTGTCCAAAGCTGAACCATAACAGCAGCCCGAAGGTGTACAAGTTGGAGCAAGGGCATCATCGTCACAAGGAGAAGCAACACAAAACAAAAGGAAGAGAGGTACCCAGTTTAGAAAGAGAAGGAAGCTGATTCCTGATGATGAAGAAATGCAATCAGCTGCTTCCTCTACAGATTCAGAAGATGAGAATCACCATTTTGACATGCATTCACCATATGCATCATCTTTTATGACTTTGTTCAGATCTTTAGATTACAATTATCAAGCAACCGATCATTATTTATGCTACCCAATGTGATGTGGCCATGTAGCAGTAGACACTTATGTCTTACGCTAGCTATTCTACACTTATTTGGTGGGCTATTCGACTATTTGCTTATGTCCTAGATAGCTAGACAAGTCTTAAACTACTTATTGTTTAAACTTTAGCTTGATAAATTCTTATGTACCGTGTGACTATGTGAGTGGCCGGGTGTCACCTACTCAACTATGTGTTATGTGTATTGTCACCACTATCTACTATGTGACTACTTATTGCTTCCTGCTGAAAATCCCTTACTTCTTTTGGCAATAATTTGCTTTTTTTTGGGAAAACGCTATATGCCTTAGCGCTTCTATAGCGGCCGTTATAGTGTGCTTAGCATTTTTCAGAAGGCGCTGCTAAATGCTTTAGCCCGCAATTTAAAACACTGCCACAGATACGCATTTCATGGGTTTGGACTTCAAATGTTAAGTTCCCTAGCTAATAAGTGGAGTAAAAATATGAACAATAACCCACTACCAGTTTGCCATCTTCATTCCTAGATGCAAATCATCAATAAGCAAAAACTATTTCATATTTACACAGAGGAAACCCTTGAATACCGCATACTTGTTCGTCCCAGCTGAATCACTAGCAATTCACACATGCTTCGGAATCGAGTATAATATGTATGCAGTCCCATTCTAAATCCAGCTCAGGTGAAAGCAAGTGTGCAGTTTGGGCACTTACTTGTTTTAATAGCAGGATTGACGGGGGAGCCGTCATCTTTCTTGAGCTGCACCCTGACCCTCCCCACCTGGAAGAAATCCCTTGGGTACGCCTTATCCAGCTACGCATAGCAACAATTGGCCAGTCAGATGTGCAAACCAACGAACGATACTGTCAATCCTGAACTGGAAAAGGAAACAATCGGAGGAGGAGGAATCAGGGCGGGCACCTCGACGGCGTGGGGGATCTTGAGGTGCGAACAGCAGTCGGCAATCTCGATGCAGGTGGGGTCCGGGCAGGCCTTGGCGGCGGCGATGCGGCGGCCCTCGGCGACCGTCTTCTTGGAGTTGAGGTAGACAGGGTAGATGACGTTCCACTTCTTGATGGTGCCCCGCAGGTCGCCGCCGCCGCCGTCCATCCGCGTGCCGTTCGGCGTCGCCACCGCGGCACAGATCCTGTTACGTGGCACAGAACCAACGGGGGAGCGAGGTTTTATGCGGATCTGGAGGGTCACGTGGCACCTGCGTCACCTGCCGCCGCCGGTCGGAGGAGCTTCTTCTGATCTGGAAAAGAGAGTTCACGAAGAAGAGGAGACGGATCTGTTTGGCGTATGACGGGAGAGAGAAAAGGCACTCCCCCTGTTGGCCTGATCATGTTTGATTTTGATCCCTCGGCTCGTCAGTACAGAAAAACACTGCAACGAACTTGCAGTTGCAGCGAGATCTCTGTATCGACGTAAGTACATTCTTTTTTCCCCCCCAATGTCATCAAATTTGCGTACACTCGTGTACACGCACGAAGTCTTATGAACACATAGAAAGACCGGGCGGATAAATCGTTACGGAGCCACCACATTCGTGCTACTGGTTGCTGTTACGGATGATTGCATATAGGTCTATAGGATAATAAAGGGCATGTTTGGAACACAACATTTTCTTCTTCTTCGTACGTTTTTATGTGAAATTGATGTGCAAACCCTATAAAATTTCTACGTTTCAAACTGACCATAAAGTTATTGTATGACATTATAGAAAGAGTACTAGTATTGTATTTGAAAATAGATATCATTAAGTGTTGAATTTGTTGATGATATTATAATTTTGTGCTTATTTACTACTAAACACTAAGTAAAACAAAAAGTATTCATTTCATACAAGGGATGGGAGAGAGAGTATGAAAAGTCATTTTGACCTTGTGAAAGTGAGGGGCCACATGTCACTTCTCCATCTCTTCTCGTTATTTCCATCTGCTCTCGAATTGGTGCCGTCCCTTGTGTGGCCAGAGCTTCTCAGCCACATCAAGATCGTTTCGTCATCAGGTCGTTACTTGGACATAGAAGTTCTTGGCCCTTAGATCCTATAGGACACTAAGGGTCAGTTTGGTTGGAAAGAGAGGAAGGGAATAGTTCAATCTTTAGTTTTAGGGATGCAATTTGTTTCATGCTAATGTTTGTTTAGAAGGACACGGGGTTGTACTTTTGTGTTTGATTGGAGGGAGAATAGATGATATGGTAAATTTGTAACCCCGTTTGATATAAGGCCCACATGTCATACAAACATACTTCATTGGCTCTATGCGATCGGCCACACGCTGCTGCTCCTACCTTGGCTGCACAGCCTTGCCCGCCGGTTTCACCCACATCCGGCTACGCCCACCCCGACTCGACCACAGCTCCGGCTACACCGGTTCTGCTCACAATGGCTCCTTCTTGGCGAGCGTCGGATCCATCTGCCCCAGTCATGGTGGCTCTACTTGGCCCTGGTAGCCCGCGTCTGCTTCCCAAACAACGACGGATCCGCCCACCTCCATCCACGCTGGCTCCTTCCTCGCCTAGTTTAGTCATGTGTGCGTGTGCAAAGAGACAACGCTCACGCGCATCTGAGTGGAATGAAAGCATTCGACCTAATTTTTGGAGTGAGCTAAGAGTTACATTGTCGTGATAAACATAGAACACCATAACTGACATTAGCATTATCGTTCTTCAGCAGTCGAAACATCGCCACTGAGTTGCTTATGCTTTGCAACAGACAAGAAGTTGTCACAGACCTAGAGCTTCTCCTCGGAATACAACAATGTTTCTACGCTTCCACACAACTACCACTAGCAAAGTGCAATGAACACGCTGAAATGTTTCTCAGGGGCTAGCGCTTGTTGATTAATCGTTGTGGAGAACGGATCCAACCAACACCAACCCAACCAAACCAAATTAAAGCAAACCATTCCAAATTCCAATGGAAAGTGACGCTGCGATGCCAAGTAATGATAATGGCGCAGTTGTTACGTAAACGTGAGCTAATATCACTTCTACCCTCGACCTTTCCCATCTAGGCACTCCCGACAACTAGTTCGTTGGCACTTTATGTCAGCTTGACCCCCAACACCATCTTGTTGTCAATGGCTCCATCAGCGTTATTGCACCCATATTCTGGACACTATGTACTTAAATCCCTCACACTACAACAATGTCATCTCAACTACTCAAATCCTAACCCTAGATATTATCAAAAAAATCCTAACCCTAGATATAAACCAAAGACTAACCAGAGGTAGAGACCAATCTCATTGTGGATCATAGCTTGGGTCAAGTGAAAATAAAAGAGTTAAAATATATATATTGGCAATCCCTATAGTTTAAAAATAAACATGTAGGTCTCTAATCTTTAGTAATTGTGTCACTTGAGATCCATATCCTCATAGCCATTGTAGCTATCATGTTTGCCTGCCACATAGACAATTTTGTGTTAATTAGAGTCAATAAGACATGGAGCGCCATTCATAAGTACGTGTGTTTTGCAATTTACATACTAGATAACTTAGGAAGAAGTTTAATGATCGCTTATATAAGCGTGGAACAAGTTTAAGGACCGCTTATATGTACTCAAAAATAAAATTAATGTGATTGGGAATACAACACCAAATTGATTTGCCTTCAGCGTTGTTTTAAAATTAGATAAGAACTTTTATTGTATCTTCAAATCCCACATTAGGGCTTAGGATTAAAAGAGCTGAACTTCCGAGCAGCATTATGAACCAAAGGTAAGTTCGTCTTGTTTTTCAGCACTACTTCAACAGTACTTTTCAGCGAAGGAATAGTGTTTTCCTCTCACAACAAATCAACATCAACAATAGCCAAATTTCAGCGAAACAAATAGGGCCATTCTGATTCAAGTAATATTTAAGTACACAATGATTATTCTACTTTCTCATAATCATGTCTCATGAGAATCGAGGTTACATCGTATATTTATATTCTATATAAATAAATTCAAGCATAGCTTTTTCGCCAACATCAGGTACTAATGGTCTAAAGTCTTTATCACAAGCACACTTCTTCATTTTCGTTGACATCTTTGGATGAATACTCAAGTACCTCCCCCTCAATCTTCTCAAGGAAACGGAGCATGACCACTAGGCTCTTGTCATCTGCACGACAAGGAACAGTCATACATCGTGGAATTAGTTGGCTGACTGGCGTTCATATCGAGGCAAAAAGAAAAAAAAAACAGTTTGTTGCTAGATGACCCGGTTGGTTCAAGATACATGGTTTCTCATTTGGCTGAAGAAGGGTGTCAAAAACGCGGGATTAGACTGAAGAAGAGGAGCTTACCGAGCCTTGGAACTGTGTGGCCCTTTGGGTGACGAATAACGAATGGGTCCACGCATGATTCTATGAGCTTTTCACCGTGTACTTTCAGGAAGTCATTGTCACCTGCATCAAGAAAATTTAAAAACGTGTTCAGACTTTCAGTGGTGCTCCGTTGTGTGCTGACCACCGGTTCGCCTATATAAATGAAAGATACCAAAACAACAGAAATGACTAGAGAATTGGACCATGTGCATCTTGTAGACTTAGTCAAAGCATTCTAGAACAGTAGACATGATGGAGCGCCAAATGGCAACATTAATTTCCATAATGGAATTAAAGTCGGCATATATTCATTTGAGTTTTTTTAATGATGAGCACAGCTTTCTTGAAAGCGTTATGCAGTGCAGCACATTGCGGAAAGCATCAAACCCTGTCTCTTTCAATTAACAAGAGACGCCGGCAAGAGGCAAGAGCATCCAACCAGATATAGAGACGTCACGGCAGTACGCCATAACGTTCCCACCAATGCAACACCTTGACGCAACCGACAAACAAACTGGCATGACAATGGAATGATGCGCGATGCCATTGACGTACCAATGAAGTGAAGCGAGCGGCATGCCACCTTGTTGGCGTACGCCTTCTCGGCCACCGTCGGGGACTGGAACTTGGCGCCACCGATGATGATGAGGTACTTGATCTTCGGGACTCTAGTCAGGGCCAGCCCCTGCCATGAAAACACAGAGCGACAGTAAGAACTAGCAGCAAAGCTTATGAACTTGCTCTGCTTCGAGTCTTGTATGAAGCATGAGCTCACTTGTTCTTGGAGCCCTGGAAGCGCCGCAGACAGAAGGGAACCCTGGAATCAACATCAGTGCATCACAATCAATCGAAAAGTTGGTTCATCACCACAGAATTTGAAGAAGTGATCTCGAACTTTGCTGCTTACCTGGGAGAAACCCATCAATCCATCGAAGGGGCCATCTTTTATCATCAGCTCTTCGATGTAGGCCAAGCACTTGTCGAAATTCCTGTACTCCATAAAACTCTGTTTTGTATTGCATATAAGGAAGTTGGTAAGTGCGTCGCACGAGTTTGCGTTTTTTTTTTTAAAAAAAAGTGCGTCGCACGAGTCAGTACTGTATAAGGAAGTTGTAAGTGTCAGCGACACGCGCAGGAAAAAAAAAGGAATCCAAAATTAATTTGACGAAATAAGCGGGGGGGATGGGATCAGAGAGGAGGAGAGCTGGAGAGGGGCGGGTAATTGATGGATGGACGCGCGTGCGCGTGCGCGGCGGGCGGACCTTGGCGAACTGGAACCACTCGTAATAGGGCGGGGCGAAGATGCCGTCGACGTCGGACTTGCCCTCGGCGGGGAACGGCGCGTCAGCGAAGACGAGGTCGAGGCGCGCCGTGACGTCGGCGGGCCACTTGCCGAGCACCTGCTTGCGCATGATCTCGGCGCTGGTGCGGAACCCGTGCAGGCACAGGAACCGCGGCCGCCGCCCCGCGCCCTGCGGCTGCGGCTGGGGCTCCGCGTCGCCGCCGAGGCTGCCCATCGCGGCGGATCCGGGAGGCAGGAGGCGGGCGGGCGGGCGGGGGCGTGGGCTCTTCGAGGCGGCTGTTCTGGCTCTGGCAGTCGGGGGTATTCTGGCTGGCCGTTGCGTGGAAGCGGAGCTGTATATACGACGGTTCCACTCCGCGGTGTTGTGGGGACGTCCGTTTCCTGCGTGCAGTTGGGTGTTGGCCGTCTGCGCTTGCCGAGAAAGGAGGAGAGGCGGCGGACGGAGAAAGGCGGAGGAACGGGAGGAAAACTTTCCTCCTTCCTGTATCTAGGGTATCTTGGTTAAGTTAAAAAGTAAAATAAGTGACTGATTTTGTCAAACACCATCAACTTATAAGTCACCTCTGGTTATAAGCTTTAAGCTGGTTCACCCCTGCTTAAAACTTATAAGCCACCCTTTTCCGCGTGGGGCCCACAGCTTATAAGTCATCTACAACCAAACAGGCATGACTTATAAGTCACTGGTTTTCAGTCACATGACTTAATAAGTCACCAGACTTATGAAAACCAAACATGGCCTTAATATGGATAGGTACGTGGTGGAACGTGTTCTAACTGATGGGACACACCCTGTCCAACGAAACGTCATCCAGTTAAAACGAGACGTGGCCTGGATTGGGCCCACAACTAACACAACCCAGGCGTAGGAAACAAGGCGTAACCGCATGCAAACGACCCCCCGCCTTCCCAAGCAGGGTTTGGAAGGGTCCACCGATAGGATCTCCGTCGAGGGAAGACCAACGGCCCCCCTGAGTCGATCGGACGGCTCAGGCGACTGCCGAGAGACAGGTAAGGAGCAGTGGGATGCCTCATGCGGGCTACGTCGACTCCGTCATAAATGACGGACACGGATTCTATTCGGACATATCCGATAAGAGCTCCTCAAACCCGTCATTCGAGTCGTCAAGGTAACTTTACCGAACATTCTTACTTTATTTTCCGATGCATGATCATCCATTCATCCTTTCTCATACACGCATCCATTCATACAATCATTCATTCATTCATCCCATACATCCAAAGCATCGTATATGCAATTAATGCATCACAACGCTTCGTGTTGCGTCACGAAGCGGTAGTTGCCTCATTCAACATGAGCAACGATCGACCGGGGTTCGAAGGCTGACCCGCGAAGGGCTCGAGGCCGCCTCGCGTCAAAGAGAGCCAGGGGAGAAAACGCAGATGAGCCACAGCGGCCCTTGTCCAATATGCTTAGAAGCAAACAGGGTCATTTCGACCTTCTCGTTCGATGCTAACCTCGAGCCATGCCCACACAATCTCCATCGATGGAAGGCCAGCGGGCCACCTGAGTCGGTCTCCAAAACGACCCAGGCATCTGTCGGGACGTGGGTTAAGGAGCAGTGGCATGCCACATGAGGGCTATGCCGACCCTGTTACGAACGACGGACCCAGATTTCGTTCGAATGCGACCGTTAGTGAGCTCACCGAGCGCATCACTCGAGCCATCGAGGCAAGCGACGTTAGCTCAGCTCCTCCGGTTGCGGAAACCACAGACGGGGTAACGCACGGAACTAGACGAACCCCTACCAAACCCAACGGGGCTCAAGGGCTCAGGTCGCCCGATGCTGACTCGGGAAACCAACCGACCACGCAGGTCACGGACGGGACAAACACGGGCGAACACCCTGACTGGCAGAAACACAGGAGTCTACGGCCCCAGAAAAGAGTACCAAGATACTCCGCCTCCAACCGAGTCACCAGTCGGACGCAGGCTCGGGGGCTACACCCACCGGTGCGCTCGCGCGCACCCGCTGGCAAGTCGAAAAACCCCCCAGACGATTCTACACAAATTGCCCGGGGGCTCGGGGCTACACCCATCGGGTGCGCTCGTACGCAACCGCTGGCAGAATGAAAAATCCCCCAGACGATCCTACCCGAATCACCCGGGGGCTCCTGTCGGGTTCTGTGACAGAACCGCCCAATTTATACAAGATTAAGTACGGTTGTCCCCGCTAACACGTTGACACACCCATACTTTCACTCATATAAACCCGGTAGTCCGCCGAGTGTCCCGAAAGACCTCGGTAAATCAATATCACAACCAAGATCGCGTGATTAAGCAAATACACATCACATACATCGAGTTGCAGCGAAAATAATATTACAAAGGGGTTAACAAATAATAGTACGAGTTTGGGTTTCAAAACTGATTAGTGAAAACAACATAGCTTTCAAATGATTACATTAATATAAGTTCCAAATATATTGCTAGTATAAGTGACATCATCCGACAAAAGCATATAGACGAGAAGTAACTATAGAATCACCGAGCCCACCGGCGGTTAGCCACCATCAGCAACAGGTCGAGAACTTCACCTGCAACAAGGTAGGATAAACCCTGAGTACTCGAATGTACTTAGCCAGACTTACCCGTCGGAAACCAAAACAAAAGATACCAAGGATCATGCAAGGCTTTCTTTAGTGGGCTAGCTGACTTGTTTGCGAAAAGCATAAGCTATCATGAAGAAACTATTTTAAGTACTTTGCATCATCTTTATTATGACCTATCCATCTAGGTAAGCACCTGTACTATAGCAATCACTTGATTAACCAATAACATTCAGTTACCAACTTAGATTTAGCATATCCCATATCATCCAGATAACCATCATTGTTCTATAATAATTACTACGATGCCGTAACTCGAGTCAAGTGCTCACTATCCAGGAGCGATGGCGATTCGAATCGATTCCTAACCAGCTGGTGATTTATTCCTTACACAAACCTCACTCACCCGATAAAGTGAGATATTGATCACCGAGTCAACTATCTAGGAATCTCGAGTTTGCCAGAAACCACATGTACCCGGGGGCCGACCGACTGCACTTTGGTCTTATCATCTCGCCCCCGTGTCCTACCACACCTGCTCCGGCATAGTGCGCTGCGGGCAATCTACTCGGCCCGAATAATCTCCCAGCTTCGCGGTCGGAAGGTACTTTATCCGGCCAGCTAAATGTAAGGCATGCGTTCAACATGACTCGAGGCCCAACAACGGACGGTCCTTAATCGACACAGACGGAAACTAACAGCACCCCAGAACCCTATCTGGTTGCCTCCAACTTTTCCGTCCGGTCTCCAATTATCCATCACACATGATTAATTCCAGGATATCATTCTTTCCATAGCTAAATTCTTCCAGTAACCACCTATAAATGTTGGTGACCGGATATCACCGATCGCTACCGGTCTAAGCAAGGCTAAGCAGTTATTCGATCCCGACCTAATAGGGTAATAAGGTAATAAGGTAAGCAAGGATAATACTAAATGCATCAACGGTTTCAATCAACTCTTACAACTTAATGCAACAATATATAACTCATATATAGAAAGAATTGCTTTTATAAAGTAGGAGACTTAGAATGCTCCGGGGCTTGCCTGGGATCCGACACAAGTCAGTTCAGTTAGCTTGCACCATCCTGGTGATATCACAGGTCCTAACACTTGCTTAGCCCTTCCACCTTCGGGATAGATCCATCAAACACTGTCTTCGGGTTTGGCTCCAACATCACGTCCTTCACGTGGTTCATCTAGCATACCTAGATGAGATGCAATATGCAAGTGCATAAATATGAAGAATATTACCATGAGACACATCACAAATTAGCAAGCAAGACAAGCATAGTTTACACTAACACACTTAAGTACTTTGCGATGCTTAACTTAAACATCACACAATCTATCATGCTAAGATGGCAAAGAAGACGACAACATCAAGCATGACACAAGTTTCCCAAGATCTCAAGTGCTCTAACTCAGTCATCATTCAAGGCATACGTCACACTTAACAATATACAAGCAAACACTATAATTGGAATCTGCCAATTTCTAGACATGCAAACAACAGCTACAAGATTTAGCTATAACTGGAGTTACACAAATCCAAATGACTTGCAATAAGACATTATGGAAAACTTATGCAATTTTCTACAATTCATCTTTAATCATCTTAGCATGATTCTCAAGTTAACTAAGTCAAATATATCTATTTACAGAAACTGGTCCACAATTGACAGAAAGCAGTCATTTCTGAAACCCAACTTTAAATAGCTGTAACTCTTAAACTACTTGGCCAAATAACACCAAATTTTAATAGAAGCTAGATACATGAATTATCTACAACTTTTGTATAAACAAGTTTCACAACAAAGCACATTATCATGAAGAACTTTGCTAAGTTCCTAGATCTGTCCATAAAGAACATCGACAAGAAAATAATTATTAACTTATGTTGCAAATACATAATTGGGCAAAACCAACTTTACCATCATTTCACACATGACTAAAGAATACCAGAAAACCTAGTTTCCATGACCAAATAAGTTCTTTTACTGCATTTCTTAATTTATTTTAGATAACAAGGTGACTTAATGAACATATACCAAAAGTGCACAATAACTTCTACAAAAATTACAGTGGCTCACATATACTCTCAATAGTCTAATGTACAAATTTTACTCTATTTGAATATGTATAGCAACCTCTATGAAAAAGACAAGTTGCTAAAGCAAGAAATCATGTGAGAGCGAGATAAACCAATAACTCACTCGTACTTCACCCAATACTCATGAAATTTTTACCACACATCAACTATCACATGAGTAACATGCCACAAAAATTTCACTTCATTTGGAGCCCTAAATCTATAGTTATGAAAAATAACAAATTCAACTAGCATTACAACCTTACTGCACAAATCTATTTTTACCGCAAAACATTTAAACTAAAACATGCCATATTATAGATCCACTGCATAGAAAATTTTGCAAGGATTCCAAAAAGTCCTCATTTACTATTTTACGATTTTTCTACGATTTACTATGAATTTTCAAAGTTCCTGCAAAATAATTACAGACGAGTCCTTACGGCACTATTTACATGAGTCACAGGTTCTACAGAAAGGCCCTCTCCTTTACTCGAATTCTTGTGCGAGGTCCCTGGTCGGAAAACAGAGCAGAGGAGCGGCCGGCTCGCGGC